GGTCAACGCCTGAGGGCTCCCAGTATGTGAGAGGGGGCAGGCTGGGCTGAGGGACACTCCCCCCCACCCCCCACCCAGTGCACGAATTTCATGCACCGGGCCCCTAGTATTAAAATAACTGGTAAAAGCTTTGTGTAGCAAAAATACATATTTTTGAAGTGTATGGTGAATTTAAAGAAAGTAATAGGATATCCAAAAGGGACTGAATATATTCCAGAGTTAGAAAATAAAAGAGGTAAAAATTTATTAAGTTTGCTTACTAATAAGTTCTCATTTTCTAAATTCTTTAAAATTCACAATATATTACTCCTCCTTTTTGAAAATTAAATGTAGTAATAATACTATTGAGAAGGATAACATGTATTTATGAAAAACAATGCTTATCATTTAATGTAGAATTGCCTTTGATTAATTATTAAGATAGACTTTTCTTAAAATAATTGATTATTTCACAACAAGTTAAAACTATTAGAAGTTTGGAGAAAGGACAGACAGTACATATATATTATCTATGCATATTCAATATATCACATTAAATATCTAAAAAAGTCATCTGAAACAACTACATTACACCAAAAACAACTCAAAAACCAGCAGCAAACACAGATGCATATTCAGATCACATGTGAAACATCTGGTTTTCTGAATGTATAGATGATGATATAAATTCCATGAGAAAATTATGAAGACTTATAATGAGGATCATTCAAAGACATACACCTGATATTTTTACTGAAAATGTCCCTTATAAAAAATGTGACAAGTGTGTACCTTTTCCTCTACAGTGGGGCCTTGACTTAAGAGTGTCCCGACTAACGAGTTTTTTGAGATACCAGCTGTCTCTCCGCCCGATTTTTTGCATTGAGGTGATAGAGTAATTTGAGTTAACGAGCTCCTTAACGAGCTCGGTCTCCGAACGAATTAAACTCGTAAGTCAAGGCCCCACTGTATTCTTTTTCCCCTACCTTATTCCCTGCATATTTAAATGGAAAGAAAAAGACAAAATCTTGACTACATTTACCTCCCCGAATGGGTTGTAGAACTGCACGATGTTGACATCTCTGTCCTGCAGGCCGGCCTTCTGGGTGCCCGCCACCGCCAGCACACTGCCAGTGTGGTTCCACTGGATACTGACCACGCACATGTTCGTGTCGATGAGAACAGGGTCTTGCAAAGAGAAGAAAGGAGGCAGTTGTGGTAAAGCACTTAGCCTAGGGAACTTGGTCATCCTAAGGACAATTTTTAAATATTCTGTAGTTCTCCACATTAAAAAGCAATGACATACTTTGGTCATTCTCGTGTCTCATTATTTGGCACCGCCCGTTGTCAAAACAAACAGCGAGGCAGGGGCAGTCGGGCTCCACGTAGCCTTCGGTGCCGTGGTACCAGTGAATTCCAGCAATACTGATGGCGCCAGTGACGTTCACCAAACAGTTCAGCTTCATTTTCATCTGAGTGAAATCATGTTAATGGTCTATGTTTTAGAACAGATCAGCGAGAACAGAGCATTGTAGAAACAAACACAGAAAGTAGGATTTAAAAATCTGGTTTCAAATGCAAGCTCTATCACTTACGAGTTTACCAACCCTGGAAAAATCACTTCCCCTGGGTTTCAGCTTTCCCCATTTGCAACATGAGGAATAAAAAACCTCAGAGTCTTTTTGAGTCTCGAATGACAAGAGGATATGAAAGTACTATGGAAATAGCAAAGTGTCATAGAAAAGCTGCTATTCCCACTTCCATTAATGAGTGGATGCATGGAGTGCCCTGACTGTGACTAAAGACAGCGCTGCCCACGCGATCAGATCCTCACAGCTCAATCACACAAAGCCAGGCTTTCCTGAGATGTTACCACCTGAGCCCATACATTTTGCTTCTTCCCAGGCCTGATTTTTGTCCCTTGCTGTTTAAGTCTTCGTTCTTTTTACAAACAGCCCTGAGTAGCTTCCTACAGGAATATCTGTGCTATCTCATGTAAACTGTGGCTTCGGGCCTGAGAAGACACAGCAATTAAACTGCACATCTTCCCACTCATCATCCCTCAGCTCTGTCCACTGAAATCTTGTCCTTTCCAGCTACCTGAAAAGGGAACGAAAAGCATCAATTTATCTTGACACAACCAGAGGTGACTTTTTAATAAAAAAAAACTTTTTAGATGATTTAAACCTGAATTGAAGACGTTCTTTTGTTTTGTTTTGTTTTAATTGAACCTATTGGGGTGACATTGGTTCACACAACTGTAAAGGTTGCAAGTGTACAACTCAACAAATCATCATCTGCACACGGCATGGTGCGCCCATCTCCCAGGCAAAGTCTCTCTCCACCCCCATTTATCCCCTTTGCCCATCTGCGCCTACCCCCCACCTACCTCTCCCTCTGGCTATCACCACACTGTTGTCTGTGTCTAGGTATTATATCTACATATGTTTTTTTGTTTAATCCCTTCACTTTTTTCATCCCCAACACCCCTCCCCTCTACAGCTGTCAATCTGTTCCATGCATCCTGACTCTGTTCCTATTTTGTTCATTAGATTCCACATATAAATGAGATCATATAGTATTTGCTTTTCTCTGACTAGCTTATTTCACGTAGCATAATACCCTCCAGGTCTATGCATGCTGTTGCAAAGGTAAAATTTCCTTTTTTACAATCCAGTAATATTCTATTGTGTAAATGTACCACAGCTTTTTAATCCACTCATCTACTGATGGGCACTTGGGCTGCTTCCAGATCTTGGCTATTGTAAATAATGCTGCAATGAACATAGGGGTGCATACATTCTTTCAAATTAATGTTTCAGGTTTCTCAGGATATATTTCCAGAAGTGGAATCACTAGGTGAAAAAAGAAGTTCCATTATTAATTTTTTGAGGAAATTCTATACTATTTTCCACAGAAGACTTTCATGATTACACAAACCATCTATATATATAAAAGTCTAAGCGACTCTTATGACAGAATGACCGGAACAGGAATGACCGGTCAACCGGTCGCTATGATGCACACTGACCACTAGGGTACAGACTCTCAATGCAGGAGCTGCCCCTGGTGGTCAGTACACTCCCACAGGGGGAGAGCTGCTTAGACAGAAGCTGGGCTCGTGGCTGGCGAGTGCAGCTGTGGCGGTGGGAGCCTCTCCCACCTCCACAGCATTACTGCAGCATTACCAAGCAGCAGCCACAGTAGGCGCAGTGGGCCAAGATGAGCGTGAGCAGCATGGCACCAGCCCCAGTTTGGGTTCCTCCCTGGCCGCCTGCCGCTTGGTGACTGCTACATCCCTTGAGGGGTCCCGGATTGTAGAGGGCACAGACCAGGCTGAGGGCCCTCCCACCTCCGTGCACGAATTTTGTGCACAGGGCCTCTAGTCATAAATAAATGTGTATATGTATATGAAAGATACATAAAATAACCATATAAAATTATATAAATAAAACTAATGAATACATGGGTATATACTTACTATAAAATTCCCTTGACTATCATAAATGTGTATTTCTCCATTTGCCATTCCAAAAAGTAAGGCTTTACCATCTGCGGACCACGCTACATGACATAACTGTACACCCTTCAAGTCTTTTCCCCAAATGCGATTCCCTAAAACAAAACATCCAACATAATTTTTTCATTAAAAGTTCAAGTATAAAGGTAAATTATATAATTAGGCAGACATATTCAAAATAATCCTGAAAACTGAATTCACTTTTTTTAGTGCCACTATAAAAAATTTTTTTAAATAGACTGTCTTATTTGAATATAATTAAAAATAAATGATTCTGGAATGTCATCAAATTATATGCCAATTGTTTTCTCTTTTTACATTTACTTTTCTGTCAGAAGACTAACATATAGTAATGAAGTTAAACCTCTAAAGACAAAAACATCAATAAGTGTCGATCTCAGCTCTGGGTGCGATGAGGCATTACCATCCACTGAGCCGACTATCACTGCCCCGTCTTCATACACAATGCAGATCTTCTGTCCATCCGCAGTCCAGCTCATGTTGCGAACCACGGATTTATTCCTGTTGTTGATCATTTCCTCATACCAAGAGCCTATGTGCATAAATAAAAAGTACAAGTCAAAACTTCCACATCTATTAGATGGTGCTGAAGATTTGAAAACATCCCATGGAATACAATGTGAAACAAATAACTGCCAAGTTCTCTACAACACGAGACATTAAACTATAAAACCCTCAAATCCAACATAAACAAAATGAAAAATTAACTTAGACCTTAACTAAGATCATCTCAGAAAACACAATAAATTCCCACCTTTTTTTATTATTGCCTTTGACTTCTTAATAAATGTGTCTTTACCTACTGACCTAATTCCAGTCACTGGCCACATAGGAACTAATTCTTATAGAAAAACAAGAGCTGCCTCAAGCAGAAACTATTCTGCTAAGAGTCTAAGTTAATTTTGGAGATAACCAACAGTCACTCTCAACAGTCAGTTCATTCACTTTCCTGATCCAAGGTCACAGTTCAAAGGAAAGGAAATTAAAGAGGAAAGTAGAGAGAAGTAAGTCCAGAAATATCACCCCTGTACAGTCAGAACGAACTCCTGTTGCTGGTTAAAGGGGCCTATTTCAAAGACGTTATTTCCCCGTTCAAATACTGTAACCCAGACTCCACTTTGTGAAAGATTAAATAAACTCTCCTAATATACCTTTATAAAACATCCAAACAATGATAAGCCCATTTTGATCACTGGTAGTCAACTTCTGATATTGTTCATTCCATGTGACAACTTGAACACAACCTAAAAAAATATAAAACAATTTAGAAACTACAAAAAAGGTATAATTAACTTCATACATATTTTTATAAAAAACGCCAAAGAGCATGTTAAAATCAGTACAGTTCCTGTCCAACTACCCAGCCTTAATATTCATCAAAAACATTCATAGGAGCCTGGCCAGTGTGACTTAGTTGTTGAGTTTCGACCTATGAAGCAGGAGGTCACAGTTCCATTCCCTTTCAGGGCGCATGCCAGGTTGTGGGCTTGATCCCCAGGTGGGGGCGTGCAGGAGGGAACCAATCAATGATTCTCTCTCATCACTGATGTTTCTATCTCTCTCTCCCTCTCCCTTCCTCTCTGAAATCAATAAAAATATATTTTTTTAAATATTCATAGGATACAGTTACTATTATCACTCATTTTTTTACAAGAATGGGCAATACTATTTCATGTTTGTTCCTATTTCATGCCAGCAAAGCACCTGTTACGGTCAGTTGCAAGAGCTGCCATACAGCTGGTGACAGAAACAAATGTAAGTTTTACCGAACTGGCCAGACTCCCAAAGACTATAATGCCCGAAGGACATCATACTAAGTACTTGGTTCTTTGGGGTTTTTACTTTTTTCTTTGAGGCAGG